ATGATATGTATGATATACACGAGTATGTATGCCAAATTTCAATTTTTTATTTGGGAGATAACTCCCGAAAAAAAGTGTGCAAAACGCTTTACACTACTTGTCCGGTCTATGTGTTCTGTGGTTAGTGCTTGTGCTTACGAATGTACACACATTTTAACTATATGATTACGCACTGAAAGTTTCATTATGATAGTCCCACTATAAGAGAAATTATTCAACTAATAAATTCTCATAATATTGCCCAGACTACAGCGCAGCCCAAGTGCAGTCGCTGCTTACTGTGCTGTTAGCAGAGCGCGTCATTATACGTGCGTGTGGATGCGTGTGTATGCTTGTGTGCATAAAAGAAGTGCAGAATGAGTAGAATATCAGCTTAGAGGGTTCAGAGTATCTTCTAGTCGAGCAGTCTCGAGTAGAGCCTTCGCACTTGTTTATTTAGCGTAATATAAATTATCGAGACTCGATTGTATAATGGCTTGGTTAAAAATATGAACCAGGCTGAAGGAGGCGTAGTAGACCCCACAAAGTAGTCTCGTAGTCGAACAATCTTAAGCTATCTTGACTAGAGCGGTCATACTTGTCTATTTTCAATGGGTTGTAGATTTAATCACTGTTCCTTATAGTGTCACGGACCTCCTAATCGGGTACACCGACTAGAGTTTTCTTACTTTTTTTTTTAACTGACACAATTATTGTTTGCTTATGTCTGAAACCCTAGTTGGTGGACCTGAAGGACATCTCCATAATGAATATACATAAAAATCTATACTTACCGATTGGCTTAAAACCGCGGCATACGTGGCGATGTTACGTGCTTGAAGAGCATCCCGGACTTTTGATTATACGTAATCCATTTACATCCAGAGGACAGCGTTATTGGATAGCTCGAAGCCTTCGTGATTATCCGCTACCACCCAATATAGTGAACTTGGATGCAAAACATTTTCCGTCTAAGACAATAGCTGACTGGTGGGGAGAGTTACATAACTGTACTGACCCAAATGTCACTCACCGTCTTAAGACTGCGATGCGCTGGACCACTTTAGGGTACCATCATAACTGGGATACTAAGATTTACGATACAACGATCCACACTTTGTTCCCAAGTGATTTAGATAGTTTGTCCAAATATTTTGCTCTTGCTCTAGGTTTTCCGAGTTTTATTCCACAAGCCGCAATTATTAATTACTATCCTATTGGAACTTCTTTATCTGGACACACCGATCACTCCGAGATGAATCATGAAGCACCGCTATTCTCATACAGGTATATATGATGTTTTTAATTGTTTTTTATACCCTGAACCCATTGAAAATGGGAAATCAGGGTATAATGGCTTTGTTGAAATGTATGTAATAGACAGAAGGAGGCGTGGCAGACCCCACAAAGTATATATATTCTTGACGAGCTGAGTTGATTTGGCTCTGTCCGTCTGTCCGTATGTTTAAACGCATCGATTTCAGCAGATATGAGATGTCGAGTTTGCTTTTAAAATTCGATAAATCATCCCGTTTTATTTTTATCGAATAAAAACATTCAAGTTTAAGTCAGTTGCCACTATAGCTAATTGTGAAAGTTTCATTAAATTCCGGTACGTCAAAAATGAATAAAAAATAAAATATTTAGCCAATTAACAAATGCACATGCAGCAGCTACAACAGTTTCGTATACGTGTACACACATACATTCAAACTTCTAGAACATTCTTTACATCACATCAGCTGTTAGCTTGGTTAAATTTTGCTAGATGACGCTGTAGCAGTGAATCTATTTGAGTTTTGCCAGCGTAGTGAGTAGGTGCGTGACGCTCGATCGAGAAGTCGCGGGTTCAAATCACGGGCGGTACAACTAATGTTAGTTTTTTTAATGGTTTCAAAATATTTTTATATTTTATTAAATGAGTATTTCATTTATATTTTCAAATACATCGGAATTGAAATTTTAACCATACTAAATGGGCCTTTTTATTTGGTTTGGTTCAGAGTAGTATCTAGTCGAACACTCTCGACTAGAGTTTTCTTACGTTTTTTTTTTTTTTTTTTTTTTTTT